TGTTTTAGTAACAAAGAATGCCATTTAAAAAACACCTTTTTTTTTTTAGTTTATTTATTTTTGAGAGAGAGAGAGAGAGAGAGAGAGAGAGACAGAGCGCGAGCAGGGGAGGGGCAGAGAGAGAGGGAGACGCAGAATCCGAAGCAGGTTCCAGGCTCCGAGCTGTCGGCACAGAGCCTGACACGGGGCTCAAACCCATGAACCGTGAGATCACAACCTGAGCTGAAGTCGGACGCTTAACTGACTGAGCCACCCAGGCGCCCCCCCAAGTTTATTTATTTTTAATTGGGGGGGGAGAGGGTCAGAGAGGGAGAGAAAGAATCCCAAGCAGACCCCATGCTCAGTGGGGAGCCCAGTGCGGGGCTTGAACCCACAAACTGTGAGATCATGACCTGAGCCCAAATCAAGAGTCAGACACTGAACTGACTGAGCCACCCAGACGCCCCCTCCTGGAAACATTTAAATGTTAAATGTGGCTCGCGTTCTAGATCAATGCGCACTGCTCTGGAACCTTCGCTGGTCCTTATTCTCCTGATCAATGGATGCCAGCAGCATCTCCCAGTCATGACAATCACAAGTGTCCCCAGACGTCACTCAGGGTCCCGCGGGGGCAGAATCACCCCCGGGGCTGAGACCCCTCCTGTGACCTGACGTAAACTCCTCCACGAGACAGCGGAGGCTCCGCTGTGTCTCCCGCACTCGGCAGCTCGCCTGGCACATTCCCGCCTCCCGGCTCAGCACACGCCGTCCCCACGCCACCCCTGTCTCCGTCTGCCACAATCTCCCCCATCTCTCGAGACACGACATGGCTCAAATGCCCTCTCCTCCGAGGAGCCGCCTTGTTTGCCACACGAAGTCACCAGTGCGGGGGCCCCGGCTCCCCCCACCTAGAGCCACCGCGATGCTGTCCCGGCCGCCACACATTCGCTGCTCATTTTGTGCTCGCCCGTCACAGTGGGTTGAACGGGGACTTCCCTGAGATATGTCCAAGTCCTAACCCCCAAAACCTGTTGAATCTGGAAAAGGTGTCCTTACAGATGTGAGTAAGTCACGGATCTCGAGATGAGGTTTAGGGTGAGCCCTGGACCCATCGACAGGTGTCCTTATAAGAGAAAGGCAGAGGGGGAGGGGAGACGTATCGACACACAGGGCGGCCACGTGGCCACAGAGGCAGGGATGGGGGCGCTGCGTCCACCAGCTGGAGAGCCACCGGGAGCTGGAGAGATGTGGAACAGAGTTCCCCACAGCGTGGCCCTCCTGCCACGTCGCTTTCAGGCTTCTGGCCCCCGGAAGTGTGACAGCATAAATTTCTGTCGCTTCCAGCTCCCCAGTGCATGGCGCTTTGTTACAGTGGCCCCGGGTCACTAACCCGCCCCCCCCCCATTCACTCCGACCCGGAAAGCTTTGCTCCAAAAGCATCCCGAACCCCTCATCTCTACCTGCGCTGTCCCTGCCCGAGCCGCTTGCCCGAACAACCCCACAGCTCCCTGCGGTCCCTCTGGCCCCTGATGCTCAGAGAGGGTCCCTGAGTTCCCTGTCGAAACAGAACCCACATCCTGAGTCTGAAAATCGCTCTGAAAGTCCCCCCCCACCACCACCCCCACCCCCGTCGCCTCTGGGCTCCGTGCTGTCCTCACCACCGGAAGTCCTTTCATTGGGTTGTTCGTTCAGGTGCTCAGTAAATGTCTGTTGAGTGAACCCATGGGTGTTGAGGACTCGAGGGGCCCCCACTCTAGGGACAGACCCCCCCCCCGCCTTCTTCTGGCCTCCCTCCCGGCTGCTGATGGAATCCAGAGCCCAGCTTTGGCCCCCAACACAGAGGGCGCTGCTTCCCAGGCCCCCAGGGCCTCAGGCAGTGGAGACGGAGGCTGGCTTCGGCTCTCAGTGATTCCATCAGTAAACTGGGAGCAGAAGGGAGCTAAGAAGGACTGAGCCGGGGGCACTGCTAGAAATCTCAGCAGATCTCCAGGTGGGTACGGATTTCTCCGGACAGATGGTTCAGAGCCCCCAGCCGGAACCTGGTGCCACGCGCCAAAAAACGGTCCACGGACACGGAAGGGCTGGGCGCCCACACAGGGTCGGCCGTCAAGTCCCCATTCTGCCCTTTGCTGGCTGCTCGACCTTGGACACATCCACTACGAAACCGGCTTCTTCCTCCAGGTGCCCAGTGTCCCCAGAGGTTCCTGCCAAAGGGAGCGTGGCAGACAGCGTGTCGCTCCAAGACGAGGCGCGAGGTGGTGCCCTCCTTGAGCCCTGGGGGAAGCCGGCCGCCATGCTGGGAGGCTGCTCAAGTCGTCCCCCTTGAGAGGAACTGAGGCCTCTTGTCCACGGCTGCCCCGGGGGCCAGCACGGAGGCGGATCCCTGAGTCACGGTCAGGAGAGACTCTGAGCCACGACCGTGCGGCCGACTCATTCCCTAATTCTGGGCCCCCGGCCACTGGGATCACTAATGCTGGCTGTTTGAAGCCACCAGGTTGTGGAACAATTATTAGGCCACAAGAGATAACTAATGGGGTCCACAGAAACTCCACTGTGCCCCCCCCAGCGGCCAGCCTGCACGGATGCACCTGCCCTCCAGTCCCCAGTTGGTTCGGGGAGGTGATGGCAGAAGGTCCAATGGAGGGAGAACTGTGAATCCTTTCTCGGATGTCACCTCCTCCGTGAAGCCTTCCGCGACCCCCTTCTCTACAGTTTCCTCCCTCCACCCCACCCCGTTATACTCTTCCGATGCTGAAGATCAGAGAGGTTAAGTCACTGGCTCACTGCTGCCCAGCAAGGGCCGCTTGCTGCCACGTCGCCTCCACCCCTCTTGTCTTCACCCAAAAAGGGGCACTTTGTTCCTGACCATGAGGTTGAGGCCAGCCCCTGGGCCATTTCTGGTGCTTGTTCACACCCAAGTCAACCCTCGCCATGATGGCATGTTCCCGGCAGGGGCACCCAGTCAGCCCTGTTGCACCCCGATTCCCAGCACTTGTGTCTGCAGATGTCACCCAAGCAGCCCCCAAATGTCCCTGATGCCGAAGAGTCCACGAGAGTCCCAGAAGGAAGGGTGAACACCCCAGAGCCCATGGGATGCCATGGGTCTCACTGCGCTTCCTTCGATTTCCGTGAACAGACGCTGCCCGGGGACCGGGCTCAGCTGGCTCAGGCAGACCACCCTGCCTGCACTGGGGACAGGGGCTTCCTGCCCACCCCCAGAAGGCAGGGCTGACAAGGGAGAGCCAGCGGAGACGGAGCCTGGGCCAGCCTCGCCTGGGGGTGGAAAAGCTGCCCAAACGCCCCCTTCATCAAGGGGCCGTAGCTCTATTTGCTTGTAAGGATGAGGGATAGGAAAATCCCTTTCCTTTTCATATGGAGAAGCAGGCAGCGTCTAAGCTCCTCCTGGAGGCCCTTAAGGCCCTTGGGACTTGCCCCGTCCCCACAATGCCCTCCTCTCCTCCCCCTGGCTCCCTCGCTCACTCTGCTCCAGCCGCACAGGCCCCCTTGCTGTTCCTCCAACGTGCCAGGCACGATCCTGCCTCAAGGCTTCTGCACATGCTGTTACCTTTCTCCGCTAATGCTTCCTCGTCCTTCAGGTCTCGGCGCAATGACACTTGCACGCTGGGCCAGGCCTTTGTGCCGTGTGCAACCTGCACAACCACACACAACCGCTCTGGTGTGAAGCAGGGAACGTGGCGGGCAGTAGGCACTCAATAAATGCTCTCCCTGGTCACTTCTGCCCCTCTGCACCTTATCCCTCTTTCTGAGTCCGGAGGCCCGCGGGCCTCACCGCTGACCCCAGGCAGGGCCTCGGCCTTCCCCAGGGTGAGAGCGTCCCCTCCGTCCCCACACCCCAGACAGCACCCAGGACTCACCCCGGGCAAGGTCTTCTGTTCGTGCAGGGCAGTCTGAGCTTTGATGGCGGAGTCCCTGGCACAGTAGGTGAGAAAGGCACAGCCTGGAAGGGAGACAAATGGGGGCGTTAAGAGAAAAGGAGATCGCAGACCCAAGTCCACAGCAGCATTAATCCCAACGTCCAAAAGGGGAAGGGATAAATGAACACAGTGTGGTCCGTCCACACCCTGGAATATCATTCCGCTTTGAAAAGGAAGGACGTCCTGCCGCCTGGCACCGCGTGGACGGACCCCGAGGACACTGTGCGGTGACAGGAGCCGGACACAGAAGGACACGTCCCGCGTGACCCCACGCACAGGGGCTCCCAGAGGAGTCCCGTCCACAGGGACAGAGAGCGGGTGGTGGGAGCCAGGGCTGGGGCAGGGGGCGGGGAGTCCGTGTTTCATGGGGACAGAGCCTCAGTCTGGGGAGATGGAAAGTTCTGGAGACGGGTGGTGGGGGCGGCTGCACGACAGTGTGAGTGTGCCTGATGCCGCTGAGCTGTGCGCTTGGAAAGGGTGAGGAGGGTGAATTTAATTGTATTTAACCACATTTTTTAAAAAATGGAAAAGAAGGAAAAATCGAGGTAGATTTTATGTCCTTTTTTACTACAAGCCAAAAATAAACAGGACACTGGAGCCAACGGTATTGGGGGGGGGGGGGCAATAGCCGTGGTCCAGCCGCCCCTCCCCCTCGGTGAGCTAGGGAAGAGGAGAGGAGACTAGCTGTTAATTAAACCCGCGTCCGACGCCAGATGAAGAGATGGGCAGAGCGCGGGGTGAGGGCCGGTGGGGCAGTGAGGCCGCGGCTGCCCGGGGAGGACGGTGGGGGGTGCACCTGCAGCCCCAAGGATGCAGAAGGTGCTCCAGCACTGGGAGGAGGAGCACGGCGGCTCTGCCACGCACCCGCTTCGTGGCCTTGGGCCGGGCGCCGCCCCTCTCCGGGCCTCAGTTTCCCCGCTCCGAGAGGATGCTCCCAGAGCGTTGAAGGAGGGGGCGGGGCGGGGGGCGGGGCTAGAGGGGGCGTGGTGCGGCGGAGCCAATCAGGAGAGGACAGGGGGCGGGCCAGCGCAGAAGTGGTCCAGAGCGAGGGTGTGATTGGTTGGACGCCGTCCTGGGCCGGGTGGGGGCTGGGGAGGGGTGCGAAGCGTGAGAACCGCGGAGACCAGAGACACAGAGAGAGACGGAGGGGGGCCCCCAGAGAAAGACCGATGAGATAGACCAATGGTGTTTTGAAAGATGTCTGCCTGAGGCGGGGTGTGGGATGCAGGCAGGTGTCAGGTCCCCTGAGATGGACCCAGGGGGCCCGGGCCTCAGCCCTGGACTCTGCCTCTAACCTCTGTGGACCTCACGTTCACTGCGTGTGAAACGAGACCCTCGTCGTCTGCTCTGGCGCCGTGGACCCTGTGCCCACCACCCCCAGCTCCCCCCTGGAGCCTCTCTGCCTCCTCCGACCCCTAGGGCCCCCTGTGCAGAGAGAGCCCCTGGGAACAGCCCCGTGGTGCCCAGTTTTGCTCCGGGCAGGAGCTAATTAAAGCCGCGCGTCCTTCCTTCTGGGATGTGGTCACCACGCTGCCATTCCCACCGGCTGGGCCGGCTGCTGCTGGGGAGGGGTCTGCCTCAGGCCCGAGGGGTCCTCTGGTGCCCCGGGGAGCAGGGCTTTCTAGAGTACAAAAAACATTCGCGGTGAGCACGTAAAACGGTGCAGCCCCCGTGGAAAACGGTTTGGCGTTCCTCAGGAAAGTGAAACAGAGAATTATCGTAGGACCCAGCAACTGCACGTCTGGGTCTCTACCCAAAAGAAGTGAAAGCAGGGACTGGACAGATATTTCAAACAGATATTACGCGTGTTCACAGCAGCATTACTCACAACGGCCAAAAGGCGGCACCACGCAAGCGTCCGTCAACAGGTGAACGGGAAACACAATGGGGTCCATCCATACGCTGGGATATTATTCTGCCTTAAACAGCGACGAATTCTGACCCCCGCTGCAACGCGGATGAACCTTGAAGGATGTTATTATGCTCAGCGTAACAGGCCAGGCACAGAAGGACACGTCCCGCGTGACCCCACTCACGGGGGTCCCTACAGGAGTCCCGTCCCCAGAGACAGAGAGTAGACGGTGGGAGCCGGGGGTGGGGCAGGGGGCGGGGAGCCCGTGCTTCAGGGAGCCAGTTTCCATTTGGGAAAACGAGAAATTCCAGAGAGGGAGGGCGGGGATGGTTACACAACAACGTGAGCATGCCTGATGCCACTGAGCTGTGCACTTAGACGCGGTTGAGACGGCGAATTTAATCTTATGTGTGTTTTACCCACGATAAAAAAAATTGTAATGGAGATATATTAAAAACAACCCCCCTCCCGTGGGGCGCCTGGGTGGCTCAGTCGGTTGAGCTCCTGACTTCGGCTCAGGTCATGATCTCACAGCTCGTGAGTTCAAGCCCCACGTCGGGCTCTGTGCTGACAGCTCGGAGCCTGGAGCCTGTTTCGGATTCTGTGTCTCCCTCTCTCTCTGCCCCTCCCCCACTTGTGCGCGCGCTCTCTCTCTCTCTCTCAAAAACAAATATTAAAAAAAATCATATATATATATATATATATATATGCCAAAAAAGTGCAGAACTTAGAAGTGTGCAGTGTAACAAACAATTATAAAATCACATAACCATTTTCCACGTCGAGGAATAGAACATAGATGCTCCCAGAAGCCCGGGTGCTCCCATCCCATGACAATCTCCCCCAGAAGTCACTGCTACCTAGCTCTTGTGATAATCACGTCACTGTTCTTCATTATGGTTCCCTGACGGGGCCGGGTGGGGGGGGGGTCACTAATCAGTGTACCTGAGTGCTTCCTGTCTTTGAACTTATATAAATGGAATCATAGCATATGTACACTTTGTATCTAGCTTCTGCCACTCAACAACAGGTGGTTGTGTGTATCAGGGGGTTAATTCCTTTTCCTGGCTTGTAGTGTTTTGCCCTGTGAATATACAGCAAGGCTATCCATTCTCTTGTGGATGGGCGTTGGGGTTGTCCGCTGTTAAAGGCTATCATGAATAAACGTGCTGTGGAGCGTTCTTGCACAGGTACTCTGATGTGCAAAGGCATATCCGGAAATGGAATTGCTGGTTACAAGGTAGGCTTATGTTTAGCTTTAATCGATTCTTTCAAACAGTTTGCCAAAGTGGGTTGTGCCAGAGCATTCTCCAACCAACGGGTCTGACAGTATTTATGCTTCGTTTTCCCCAATCCTTGGTTTTGCCAGCCTTTTAGATGTTAGTCATTATGGTGGGTGTATCATTGTATTTCATTGAGATTGGAACATACATTGCTATAGTTATTAATAAAGTTGGGCACCTTGTGGCTTTGCAGGAGTTCTTTATGTGGTGTGTAAATAAAGAATACTTTGTATTCTTTTATGGTTACATCTGATGCACACATCTTCTCCCAGCCCATGGCTGGTCTTTCTACTCCTTTTTTGGTGTTTCTATTTTCTGAATTTAATCCCCCAAGGTCTTCCGGAAAAGGGGAGGCGCTAAGACAACTAGCCTAGGGCCTGAGAGAAATTAGGCACAGCCAGAAAGAAATTGGACTGCAGGGAGATGTAAAATAGAGGCAAAACCCTTCCTCCTTGGGTCCTCTCTTGCCCGTGGGGCCTCATTTGCAGAACATGGAGTGTGCTGGTCCTGGGAGGGGAGGGTGGGACCCCCGCGCAACCTTCAAGGCCATGAGCCTGTGGGTCTGGAAGGTTTGCAGCCAGAGGGACGCAAACCAGATTGCGTGCCGCTGTCCTCGGTGCTGAAACGCTTCCCTGTTCTTTTGACCCGCTCTCTTCCTGGCCTCTTTCTCTGTTCTGGTTGGTGAAAATGTGTGATGTTTACCCCTTTCTGGCTAAATACAGCCTTGATTTCCAGTTCTTATTAGGGCTGAATTGTATTCCCCTCCCCAAACCTCGTATGTTGCTGTCCTAAACGCCCCAGGACCTCAGAATAAGACCCATTTTGGAAATTGAGTCATTGCAGATGAAATTAGTTAACCTGGACCAGATTCTCCTTTCGTCTCAGAAGGAACCAACTCAACCAACACCTTGATCGCAGACTTCTGGCCTCCGGGGAGGTGAGCAAACACGTTTCTGTTTTTGAAGCCCCCTGGTTTGTGCTAGGTTGTTTCTGCAGCGCTCGCAAACTAATACAATCCCCAGTCAGCACAGACTTGTTAGTGATGTTAATAAAGCTCACTGACTTCTAATCCGAAGAAGCTTGTACTCCATAGCGACTACTTAGTCCTTACAACAAACCCACAAAGTAGCTGCTAGTGTTGCCCTATTCTGCAGATGAGGGGCCAGGGCACAGAGTGGGGGTGTGACTTGCCCAAGGTCACACAGATGGGGAATGGAATATCCAGGCCCCATGGGCTGTGCTAACCACTGGGGTACACTGCCTCGAGCTCGCATCTTTTCTAACATTTTCCCCAAGGCTTAGGGGAGGGTCACAGGCACCTGACCTGCCTCTCCGTGAAAGGAACTTTCAGATAGTGCCAGGATCCAATGCTGGATCAAATGCCATGAGCCCCATTTCAACTGTTACATCCTAGTCCCAGAGGGACCTTCTGACAGAAGTCACAGCCCATGCAAAGCCTACGCTGGATGAACCTCTCATCTCAATTCCAGCCCTGGCCCCCCCTCCCCCCCCACCCCCCACCGGCCTCATCAATGACAAGGGGGCCAGGTCTTGTGTCCAGCAGCTCCCTCCCATGCTGGCCAAGCCCTGCGTTCTTCCCAGAATGCTTGGCTCTTGACCATCCCTTCACACCCACATGCGTTTTCAAAGCCTGGACCAGGGTTGATCTGGGGGGGGGGGGGTCAAGGCCTGCAGTTCTCTCTGGGCCCAAGGGCAGAGCAGAGGCCAAAACGAGGGAATCACCATCTATATGAAAGTTTCCTAATAACTAGATCTTTCTCATCACGGCTCCTTTGGGAAAGGAGGGCGTTCCCCATCTCTGGAGGTAAGCACCAGTGGCTCCCCAGACAGGAAACCTCCTTGCCAGAGACTACCGAGAATCCCTGCT